TTATTCCGTTTATACTTGGAATAAATTGAGTCTTGGCAACGTAGCTCAACATGAATGTATAAATCTATGGAACAAACAGGATTTATGTTTACACAGCCTACTGATATATGGTGATTGTGATCAATATCACAGGCTCGAAAATTATACATACGGGTCATCCCCTGCCTTTGCTATCAGAACACATTTGACGGTATTCCTTAATACGTAATTGCAACATTTACACTTTAATAATATGCATGCACTGTCATTATTACATACTACAGCCCAAAAGTCCTTTTCCGGATAGTTAACGTCTTATCGATGAATATATATTATTATGCCTTGTGTGCGTAATAAAATACGATTCCTAAAACCGATAAAAAGTATTAATGCACGATGCTGGATTCAGGATAAAACTCAATTTTTTGATTTACCGATACCATATCAAGAACGTGTACGATCAAGAAGAACAGCCTATAAGAAAAGCAACATAAGTAATCGTAACATCATTTTCTTTAAGACCCTTAATTATTTTATTTAAAGAAAAAAAAACAAATTACGGTATTCCAACCTTGAACCGTCCCTTTGGCTCACGGTTTTAGCGTTCGATGGAATCAGGATACTTTTTTGATAATAATCAAAATAGGAATCGATCATGATGCAACATGCAAATTAAACTCAATTAATTAATTAAATGTATTATAAAACGACTGCTTTGAACAACACGTCATGTAATTTAAAAATGATTTTTTTCAGTGAATGAACAAATAATTGGGTGGGAAGTAATTAATAATTTTTAATTTTTAATTTTTGTTTCAATCTAAATTATGATTGTATATTAAACATAATTATTACAAATTGATACAAAACATATCCATTTAATTCGAAAAAAAAAACTTTCGTTTAAATAAATTATTAATATTCGGTAAAATAATCTTTTGCTTTTGCAATTATCGTGATTTATAGGATATTTGTGATATTAATCAAAATAGTCAAGTTTTTTGATTCAATCAATCTTGACTTTTCTTAACTCAATTTGATTACGAATTTAAAAAATTCAATATTTTGTGTGTTCATTATAAAAATAATTGAATTTATTTTATTTTATTGTAAATAAATATTATTACTTTATTGATTATAAAATTATTTAGCATTTGTATATAAAAAAAATAACAATATATCTTATATAATACAATAAATTTAATGTTAACTTGTCCAGATAAATTATTTAAATAGTAAAAATAAATAAATATTAAAATCAATACATATCAAAATAATATTGAGCAACTATAAATATCTATTTAAAATTGTTAATAAAAAAATAATAATTTATTATTAAGTTTTAAATATTATAAAAAAATTTTGATTGTTATTTATAAATTCATTTGTAATAAAAAATAATAAATTTATAATAAATTTTTTTATAGTATTAAATTTATATTAATGTTTAATAATTTCTATTTTTTATTTTTATTAAAAAAACTTTTGTATAATTGATAAAGTTTTTATTTCACCTGATTTTTATAGTAAAAAATATAATAACTATATTATATTTCGGTTTTCAAATAAGATTATAAAAAAATATTATTGTTATTATTAATAAGTTTGTTATCAAAACAATTTATTTTTTATATAATAATAATAATTTGAATATTTAAATTTAATATCACATAAAGATAAAAATTTAACTTTGAAATAAATTACAATTATTAATATAACATTATAATTTGAGATTTAAATAATAAGATAAAAAAAATTTTTTGAACCAATGTCTATAATTAAAACTTTTTTAATATAAAATGAAACAATTAAGTTAGGCAGTTTAAACCAATAATAAAATTTCTATATTTTATAGGTTCCTTTTAATATTATAAAAAAAATCATTTATAATATAAGTTTTTAAATATCAGTATTATAAATATTTTGATATTAATATATATTAATATATATATATTTATTTATTAAATAAAAAATTTTAATGTTAATAATTTTTTTTTATATTTATTTGAAGAAATATTAAATAACAAGCTAAAAAAATATATTAAATTGAAAACAATTATGAAAAATAATTAAAAAAAATGAAAATTAAATAAAACTAATTCAAATATATGTTTTTTAGAGTTATAATTTTTTATATGTAAAAATTTATATTATATATATAATAATTTTATTCTATTTGATATTAAAAAAATATTATAATATATAATATAAAAAATATTTAGAAACTAAAACCAAAAAAAAAATAACAAAAAAAAAAGACTTAAAAAGAATAATATAAAGTGATTGGCTTTACTTTATTCTTTAAAAAAAAGACTAATTTAGCATTGTTAAACCTAAAAGTTTAACTTTTCCGAAATAGGAAATTTCTTACCAAATATCGATTCAACACATCAATTCGCTAATAATAGACCTATAGTATTTTTATCCGCTGAACAACTTTGCTTAG